ACAATATCTCAAATAATGTGAAAGTAAATTATCTTACCATTAATACAATAATTAATGCAGCAGGTTTGAGCGGGAAAATTCCAGCTGCTCTGCTTTAATATATATATAGATGTTGTTTTCTAATTAAATTAAAATATATGAGAAAAATTATCTTTATAAGTTATGAAGAAAAATAATAAATCGGTTACAAATGATGATTTATCATATGTAGAAGAGAGTAATTAATAATTCAAAACTTTTAGTTAGGGTCTTCTACCGACAAAACAAAACAAAAATATATACTAATTGGTATTTTATGCTATAGACGTAATGTTAATATTTTTATATTATTTAGTATATATATATGTCATTCATGTAATTTATATTAAATATTTAAAAATTATTTTCATATACATATTGACTTCTTTATACATGCATTTAGCTAGATAGATAATTTGAGCTCGAGTACATTTCAAAATCTTGCTTATTTAACAAACAAGTTGTTGTGTCTTAACTTGTTAAATAAATAAACAAATGTGAGCTCGAGTTCAACTCGTATGAACTTGATTCGGCTCATTTAGTAAACCACAAAACCTAGACCAAAACTTAAAATTCTAACTGAAGTAATCGGAAAGACGTTCAACTCGGTTAGATTGATAGATAAACTTGATTAGATGTTTCAGTTTTGGCCGTTTGAATGTATAAGCGAGTAGAGTTTGAACTTCCACAAGCCGAATCGAATTATGTTAGCGGACAATTCGATTCCAATAACATGAGTTCCACTTGGTGAAATTCATATAATCATCCTAAATAGATCTCTTAGTTTAGCTTTTCCCTAGCATGACATGAAGAATTGTGGGTTGCTAGTCTGCATGGTCATTGAGTAAGAATTGGATGTATGTGCATTTAAATTTGCCCCTTAAGTCAATTATTTGGAATTGTGGGTTGCTAGTCTGCATGGTCATTGAGTAAGAATTGGATGTATGTGCATTTAAATTTGCCCCTTAGACTATCTTTATCCCTGACCTTATGGCTGAGTCACGGAATTAAAACAAAAAAAAATAATAAAAAAAGAGGGAAAGGTCACCGTAGTGCGCGACCCAGGTCACATTGTGACCTCGGGTCGCGACCGTTTTTTATACAGAAATAGGATATTTGTCTCATTTTTATTGCACAAGTGCATTTTTTTGTATCTAAAAAAAATAAAAAAAAATATTAAAATTCGTATTTTTTCATTCTCTACAAATAGAGACCACACTTGATATATTTTAAAACACAATTGTAATTTTTAGATAAATTAAAATAAAATAAATATTTAAGTTGAGTTGGGTTATGAATAAAGATAAATTAGGTTGGAAGATTGAGTTGTGTAGGTAGAAGAGAAAGAAATAATTTTTAATTGTTAGGTTGAGTTGGGTTGGGTTAGGGATAAAGATAGTCTTAAGTCAATTATTTGGGCAGGCGTCATAATTGTTTGCGTCCACTTTGAAATTTTGTTCAAATATATTTATTGGTCAATGGACAATGGTGGCACATTACTGTTAATTTGGGCAAACAAAATACTATAAATCTTAAAAGGAAATAAAAGGTGACAGATTTATGGTTAAAACCAAAGTAAAAAGTTGACATATTTTCTTGATCTTAATTAATTGCTCATAATTATTTGAAGCAATCTCATCATAAATAAAAAAAAAAAAAGGTCTACGCCTCGGGTTCCTTTTGATTAAAAGGTAGAGAGATGCTACAGTCTCGTTGCGGAACTATTCCGTTGGAGTTTGTAACCGTTAGATCAACTATCTCCGACGGTTATATTATGATATAATGGTTACAAATCTTAACGAAATGATTCCGTAACGAGACCGTAGCATTTTCTTAAAAGATATTGTATGTATGTAATGCAATGCAGGATATTCGTTCAGTAGTTGAAATTAAAAAGAGAATCACATTTCAAGATTTATTGTGTGATATAATATTTTTTTTATTTGGATCTTTTTCTAAATAATAATAATAATATGTGTAAAGCATGCATAACTGGGAAAAGGATGGCCAACTGTAGTCTGTATGTCATGGTATTTTAACAAAGTCTCAGCTTATGTGAATCTAGGCCCTCAGGCCTCAACCCATAGTCCCTTGCAACCTTTAGTGGGCTGGATTCAAGTTCACACATGGCCCATGTAGGATGGGTCCTTAGAGAGTTGAAATGGCCCATGAAACATTTTATTCCACTGACTTCTTTACCATACATCACGATGCTTGTGACTTGTGACCCAACCCGGCCCATGAGCAAAGGTCTGTCGTTGTTGGAATCGGGATCACAAACATCATTTAAACCAAATAAAGCGATTGAATTCATATTTTAATCGATTTTAAATATTCAAATGCAATCACAAATCGATTTTTATTTATATCCAATCGTCCCATTTGCATCCCATTAGTTTAAACTCGTGTGACCCATGCAATACTTTATTCCACTACTTTTTTCACCGTAGATCACGATGCTTGTGATTTGTGACTCCGACTAATGACCAAACCCGACCCAATGGATATAGGACGTACCTTAAAATTTGAATCAAATGAAGTCTCGGCCAGACAAATCATGATTCAAAACACTTTTTTTTTTTGTTAGTATAGCTTGTAATTACATATGGTGTAAATATTTATGATGAGAGATACAAGATATTAAAATTTTGAAGTATACATCTTTTTTTTTGGGTAACCAATCACGGTATTCGGAGCTATACTCCGACTAATCCGTTAGTCGACCAGAGTCGCACACCTTGCAGTGGCGGGTAAGACTCCAAACAATTGTTTTGAAGTATACATTTAAAACATAAGTTATTATCTTACTTTTATAATTTTACGAGAATAAATAAATGATTTATCGTGTTTTCGAAATTGACTCGAAAGTCAAAACCCCTCTAAAGTCTAAACCCTAATCTGCCTCTCACAGAGCAATACAGGAAAATATCCCCAATTCCAGTTAAACTCAGGGGAAGAAAAATGGAGGTGGCATCAGCGGCTGGGGCTGGAGTTGTAGCTATGGAGGAAGAAAGGGAATTAACCAATCGCGTCATGTGTCAGCTGACGGACTCAGAAGGTACTCCTCTGGGAGCGCCGATTTTCCTACCTGAAAGCGCCGGCCCGAAGGAGCTCCAGCAGCTGGTCAATAAGCTACTTAACAACGTCAGTTCTCGTGTAATATGAACATTCTTTAATTGAAGATGGGTTTGCACAATTTTCGATTTTTCGTGCCAAATTTGGTTCATGTTGGACTTTCAGTTCTTCCACATGATGGGTTAAGTGCTGTTGATTGTTTAATTGTGTTTGTTGGTTTGGAGAAGATATGTTTATACGATAGATGATATAATTTGTACACTCGCACATTTTGACTGGGTTGGATTTGTTTATGGGCCTGATCCATTGCAGGAGGAAAGATTGCCTTATGCATTTTATGTATCAGACAGTGAACTTGTAGTGCAGCTAGGAACATACCTTCAGAAGAATAAAGGTGAGGTCTTCCCATCAAAATCTGCAGTACCATTACAGCAAATGGGTTGCTAAGACTCGGTAATTCTTGTGCAGTGTCTGTGGAGAAAGTCGTCACGATAGTTTACCAGCCCCAAGCAGTATTTAGAATACGGCCTGTAACTCGCTGTTCTTCAACTATAGCTGGTATGAAAATCTTATTTTGTTGCTTGCATGTATATATGCCAGTCAATTTGTGCAAGTTAATAATGTACTTGGGAATTGTTCAGATATGTGCTCTATGGAAATAGAGCTCTTTCTGTATTCTTTTTTACCATTCTAATTTCTGTAGCTCTATGATTTACTGAAAGGCTTCTCGAAGCGCCTTAAATGTATCAAGTTATGCAGTGTCTTGTTATTTTTGGTGGCATACATATACGAAGTTAATGTCAGAGATATTTGAAAAATCTCGCCTATTTTCATTAACCCTATATGGTTCTGTATTTTCAGGTCATTCAGAGGCAGTGCTTTCTGTAGCGTTTAGTCCAGATGGACGCCAGTTAGCAAGTGGATCAGGCGACACCACTGTACGGTTATGGGACTTAAATACGCAAACTCCATTGTTCACGTGTAAAGGTTTATAATCTTGTTCCCTGTATTAGTGTTTAGTGAGAGCTGCATGTTAATTTTCTCTTTCAAGCATGGGATCAAAATTTCCACATTGTAGTAGTATATTCACGAGACTTGTTTGGTTTGGTTTTATCTGATTAGCATGCAAGATATCAGAAATAGCACTTAGGCTATGTTGATTTTGATAGAGATTTATGGTGGCGAAAATTCTCTAACTTTACAGGACACAGAAACTGGGTTCTTTGTATTGCATGGTCGCCAGATGGTAAACATCTAGTTAGCGGAAGCAAGGCTGGAGAACTGATATGCTGGGACCCACAGACTGGCAAACCATCAGGAAACCCTCTTACCGTGAGTTCAAATATATGTTGTTTAACTAGGCTTGGTTCTGTCTTGATCTGATTATTATTTATTGTGCTGGGTTATCTTTGATGACTTATTATCATTTTAACCTTAAACGCAATTGATTGTGCTCGGATCAATATGTTCTATCAAGAAAAACTTAGCAAATTATGTTATTTTATTCTTTCTTCGGTCTATTTCTTTTCTTCTTCTATTTGGAAAATCTCAAGGAAAAAACAACCAACCACAAGTCCTGCAAGAGTTGAATTTTATTTCATAATTTTAAAGTAACGCACTTAAATGGAAGCATGAAATATCGCTTTCATATTTGAAGTTTCAAGAATTTTAAATTTATATATGGAGGAAAACTTTTTCATGCTCTTGTGTTTCTCTATACATACATCCCCATCATTTATTTAGTGGCTAGTTTAATTTTCCAAGACAGTCAATAGTTATCCGTCACTAACTCACTATTATATATTTGCACATTACCCTCCCAATTTTTTCTACAAAAAATATTATCTATCTATGTACATCTTTGAATTCCCTAAAAGACTAGATTTCTGACTGACACGATTCATTTTTCAGGGTCACAAGAAATGGGTAACTGGAATCTCATGGGAGCCGGTGCATCTTAGTGCTCCAACCCGCCGCTTTGTTAGTTCAAGTAAAGATGGTGATGCAAGAATTTGGGATGTTACTTTGAAAAAATGTGTTATAGTTCTTACAGGACACACACTTGCCATAACATGTGCGAAGTGGGGTGGAGATGGAGTCATATATACAGGGTATGCCTATAATTTTTCTTTTGATAAACCTGTCCAATGTAAATCTCTTGCTCTACTGGTTCAGGGTTTCCATACAGTTATTCGTGATGTGAAACTTCCAATATGCTCAGAATTGGGCTATCTTAGTTTTATATTAGTTTTATTTCCTGATACACAAACCAAAACTAACTTCTAGAAACTCACTGGAGTTCTAATTGTGGAAGGACTCATGTGTGGGTCATGTAAATGAGGAAATTAATTTCTAGCATTGCTGACTTTGGAGGGCATTGAGGCTAGAAGGACGAGTTTCTATTTGCCTGTGACAGAAAATTCTATGTGATGAAACATCTTCTCTGTTTTCCTTACAGATCTCAGGATTGTACAATTAAAATGTGGGAAACTTCACAAGGGAAGCTCATACGCGAACTAAAGGTATTCTTCTAAAAGTCGACTATATCTTCTCTTCATCTCTCTGGTTCTGTTATAGTGCATCTGTTTCATTTGGCATATGTTGAAAGACTGAGTTAAATATATTGAGCTGCTATTTACTCTTTATTCCGTGTCTCGCCACAAAAAGAGTTTGTGTTGAAGTCTTAAAGATTTGTTAAGTATATTGTTTGGGAGGGATGTCACAACCATCTTTCAGTAATTTTGTTCGAAGTCTGTATATGGTATATTGTTTTTTGTCACTCAACAGTATTCTACATATTGTGTAGGGCCATGGCCATTGGGTGAATTCTCTAGCATTGAGTACCGAGTATGTTCTGCGAACTGGTGCATATGACCATACCGGCAAAACATATACTTCTCCGGAGGAAATGAAGAAGGTGACCGATTTATCTTCAGCATCTTCTGTGCGAAGTTATTCAGAGATATATTTGCTTTTCTTCACTAAACGTTGAGCTGTGTATTAACTATTAATGTGTATCTATTTCAAAATGCTGCCTGTTTGGACAAGTTGATTTTATTGCTACAGTTGTTGGAGAATAATTTGATAAAGATAATTGAAGTGCAATTACCTTATTAATTTTGCACCTTAGGCTATGTATTTATTATT